GGGGCCCCGTACGGGCCTCGGGGGCCGGCGGCGCGGGGCGGTGATGTGGTCACGGGGGCGCCATGTGGCGGCTGCTCGTTAGACGGCGGCGGCGGGCGGACGCGTCCGGCGCCGTCCGGACGTGTCCGGTGGCGGCGGAGACGAATTTTTAGGGTTTGAAGGAGGGGATCCGGGATTTCAAGAGGGTGGTCTTTATATAGAGGTAGAGGGAGCTAGGAGTGTCCAAATGAGGTGCGGTTTTCGGCCACGCGATCGTGATCGAACGCTTTAGATGATGGAGAGGGTTTTGGTGGGTTTTTGGCCAAATTGGAGGGGTGTTGGGCTGCAACACACACGAGGCCTTTTCGTTCCCTCGGTTAACCGTTGGAGCATCAAACGAAGTCCAAATTGTACGAAACTTGACAGACGGTCTACCGGTAGTAAACCAAGGCCGCTTGGCAAGTCTCGGTCCAATCCGGAAATGTTTAATCCCCACACACGAAATAAAGGTAGAAATGACCACCGGAGGAGAACGGAGTGCCGGAATGCAAAACGGACAACGGGGAAAATGCTCGGATGCATGAGATGAACACGTATGCAAATGCGATGCACATGATGACATGATATGAGATGCATGACAACGACAACAACACACGGAGACAAAAACCCGAACCCGAGAAAATAAAATAACTTAACGCCGGAAACGGCAAGAGTTGGATTACATATTGGGTAAATCATATCCGGGGTGTTACATCTGACGAGTGAGCACCTTCGTTTTCAAAACAAAAGTAGGCGCAGGTTGCTGGCTGTGCTCGTAGCACTTTGTCCGTTGAGTGTCATGTATATAATTTTCGTTGTCATGTCCTATAGGGAGGCCAGATTATGTATATGATTGCGTGATTTTATAAAATAAACAATGCAGCCTATGGTTTAGCACCGACAATAAGTTCTTGTGTGTGTTCTTCAAGCATATAATAGTGAGCAGTGTGGTGCATAAAGAATTTGGAGACACAAAACATACACATCATTCACATTTGCAGGAGTAACTTAAGTGGTCACAGAGCAGATACCAAAGACAGTTAACACCATAGAAAACATTTTGTCGAATTTTACAGAGCATGCAAGAGATTCTCTTGCACGGTTGCATCTAGGTTACAGCATTCAGCAAATGGTAAGCAACCAGAGTTCAGTGCTCCATTCAGCAAAAGCTAGTGTTTCGGTAAAGCACTCGATGTGCAATCCAGATGATTCCATATGCTGGTCAAATCCCGAGAAATCAGCACATACAGCTTTTTTAGGTTCTTCGGCTTTGCACAGATTGTCTCATATCAAATGACTTCTGTGAGTCTTTCCCGAACTGACTTCTGATCTGTTATTTGCTTAATGCTGACATGGGTAAAAAACGGTGTCAATACTTAATGCCTTCAATAAAATACTTATAACTACAGAACACATAAAATTGTGCTAATAAACAAAACATCACATGGGGCTTGCCTGTAAAGAATTTCTCCACCACGTAGCTCCTTTGATATCCAATCAGGAGAGAGATCTTCTAAGATATGCAACTGTTCTTCTATCTCTCCTGTTAAGTGACAGGCCAGACATGGGAAAGAGAAAGGACAATAAGTACAGCTTTGAGAAAGATTGAGTACAGAAAGGTTGGAGCAGCTAGATCAACTATGTACCTGTCTCTTCTATCTCCAAGTTATTAGCAAGAATATTGTGAAAGAGTTCCTGTTTAGTGATTAGTGAATTCTTGGTTGATCCAGAGATACCACAGACTATGTCGAATGTGACACGTAAAGAATCTAGCTTTTCCTGGGAATTCATTGAGGATACTTGATTGGTTTTGTTATCATTTTCCTGCAAGTAAGGTGCTAGGTAAGTACATGAAATATGGAAAATGAAGACAATAACCAACGATGACTACGTAAGTACATTCTTTCTTATACAGTGCATTTTCACCCTGCAGTGTGCCTCAGCTCAGGTTATGATATCCACAAGATAATTGGCATTTTACTGCTAGTTACCAGTACTCTAATGCTGACTAATTTCGAAGCATAAATTTTTGAAGCAAATGAATATACCTTTTGGCATTACTTCAACAACAACAAAATTACTGCAGAATTGTTTAGTACACTGCCAACCTTCTTACTCGCTAAGAGGTTTATTCGATACAATTTATACTATAATCATGTTTATGAGAATAAAATGGCATATATGATGCATTGCACAGTCAAAAATTTAAATCAATGAGAATGCAGCAAACATATCTGTTATGTAGGTATGCAATTCCTGATGGCATTTAAGAAAATCATCTTCCAGTATGCATTAACCCATATGCGAAAACACATATATCCAGGCATAAGAATAAAGTCACATACCACGGTAAAAGTAAATGCTTCTTCTGGGAAAAGGCATTTTCCAGTTGTAACCTCAGGTTCTGTGATAGAAGTCACCCCATCCTTGTCAAGTTTTGAAGTCACCCCATCCTTGTCAAGTTTTGAAGTGTCAGGACCATGATCAGAAGGGCTTTCATCAAACTTTGATGGTGAGAACATTATTAGTGATCTGCGGGCTGAATTGGTAGATCGTGGTTCAGAGCCAGGTCTACTTGAGGTTTCATGTTTCGCAACTAGAGTGGGCAATGGCCTTTTTGGTGTCTGCATTGCCGGTGTTTCAGCCATCGATGGTGAATTTGAGATGCCTTGCTTTGGTGTACTGTTTTCACAGAAAGAGATCAAACGGCGGCTTGGAGTATCAGAAATATTGGTACTGACTGGAACCGAGACATGCTTGTTAGAGCTTCTATCTGGACCTCCGGTATCATCAGCACCCAGGGAGGTCACTTCTACTGGATCAGAAAGTAGTCGAGTCTTTTCAGTAACTTTAGTAATACTCTTCTGGGACATAAGTTTTTGAAAAGATTGTGGGAAGTGAGAAGCATTTGAAAATCCATTTTCCGAGGAAAATTCAAGAACTCCTTCAGCAGAATGGCCATTATGCAGTGCATCAAGATATAGCCCCTCCCTTAAATTAAAGGGTTCTGGTAGTGTGGCCTCAGGAACATCGATATCCTGCATACATAAAAATTCCAACAAGAATGCTAAGAAAATGATCATGACCATAAAAAGGGTTATTAGAGAAGAAAAATAAGGAACTAGAGTTGAGAGGCTTGGGGGTGCTCCAAGCATGTTACAGGACATGTCATACAGCGAAAACTATTAAAGATGAAAAATAAGGAACTGCGGTTCAGAGGTCTTAAGGTGCTCCAAGCAAGTTACAGGACATGTCATACAGCGAAAACTATTAGAGATAAGAATAAGGAACCAAGTAAGTTTGAGGATGAAACAGACGATGAAGCTGTTGGGAACTGCGATTGAGAGGTCTTGAGGTGCTCCAAGCAAGTTACAGAGTGTGTCATACAAAAACAAAGGAAAACTAGCAGTTGAACTAAGTTTAGTACCTTATGATGAGATCCCAAGAAGCATAAAAGCTTTGAGCGAAAAGCCTCACAAATTGCAATGGCTGGAGACTCTTGAGGATTACTACATTCCACAGCGTCCTTCAGAAGTGTAATTTCCATGTCAGCATACATGCATAGGCTTTTCTGATCATGCAAGAGTATCCTATTTATCTGGATTGCTTCTGGGAATAAATGCTTCATCTGGGCCAAATGAGAGTACAAGAACTTTCTGCAATGAAGAACAAACGTATCAGACTCCAATATATGGATAATGATTTTACAGACAGACATTTCTCGTTGTCATTAATACCTCTTAGTGAGTACTTCCACCTGGGTTGCAATGTTGGTAAATGTAGTCATCTTCTTCCTCAGGCGCAGCAACCTTATAGAACTCTCCATCCGGTTGAAAAGAGTAAGCAAATTCTTGTGTCTGACATTGTTAGAAAAAGAACGATGGACAATCAAGGCTAGGCAGCAAAAGGATGCATCATATATGAGATGAAAATAGAAAAATGTCTCACTTCTCAAGAAGTTCATTTGAAACTGGAGATTGGCTGCCATCAGGCAAAGCAAATTCATTATCATCTTCATCGTCTGTTTCATCCTCATTTCCCAACAGCTTCTCAGCTAATCTGTCCTTGTACCTCTCTGAAAGTAAATTAGTTGCCAATGAGCTGACAACAATCTCCTCCCTTCCAGACTCAGGCTTCTCTGGAGTTGGTGATTCAGTTCTTCTCCCAGAATCATCCATATCAGGTTTCATCTTCTGCATAGTTGCAGGGCTAGTTGAATTGCTATCATTAGGCATTTGATTAAGTCCTTTCTCGACGTCAACTTGAACACTTTTCCCCTCGACCATTCTCAGCTCCAAGCGCTACAATAATGGACTAATGATGTATTAGACATCTTTCTTACAGTAATGTGTTCTAAAATCAAACAGAGCACAAATGGGGCTTGCATACAAGTACATTGGTAAGTTGCAATAAAAAGTACAGTATAGCACTAAGAAAACGTAGAGAAATAGCTATATCAACCTCTTTAGTCATAGTATCTCCTAGGTTTACTAAATTACTGATGACACACACACACCAATAAAATCTAGTCCTCATGGTTCCAACACAAACCATCTTTACAAACAAAAGTGCCGAATTTCTGATGCAAAGTCTCTACTTGTGTAAATATATCTAAAATGTAAACTAGCACCAAATTGTGCTAGCCCAACTGCAGCAAGGATGGGAGAGAGGAACATGGGGTTTGGTATATAAGTTCCAAAAAAACTAGGGGTTTGGTTTTGCTGTGAGCTTAACAGGGAACTCTGAAGCAGAGAGGAGAGGATAGAAGAGAGATGTGACTATGGAGTGACAGAGAACACAGGTAGCGGCTGTGCAAAGAAATAAAAGGAGGGGAACCCTAAACTTCCCCTTCTGTGGTCTGTGGCAAGTAGTTCTAGCCTAGGAGGTTCCAAACTCCTGGTTAACACCCACCAAATATGATAATTGCAAGTAGTGCCCAATATTGGTACCAAATTTTGCGATGGCTTGCGAGGCTAACCACGGGATAGAATATATCCACTAGACGAACAACCAGAACTGAACCAAGAGAGAGGGAAAATATCAACAACTACCTGTTGCTCCCCCAGAGTAAGATTCAAAAGTTAGACAGGGAAATTCAGCGTAGCATTCCAATTTTAAACGGAATCTGACAAATACCACAAACCCTAGGCGTTTCTCCACGGCTCGTGACAGCATAGCCTGAGCAGTGGCCGGACGAATCACCGCGCGACTCCGGCCACCACAAGGCATGGCGCCCGGATGCAAAACATAGCACGCCACAGAACGCACGAAACAGAAACGACGGGACACGCCGAATCGACGAGACGAAGCACACATCGATGGTGGCGGCACCAAATCGGGATGTGCGAAACCAAGGAGAGGGTGTAGATCTAGAGAAACGTACCGGCGAACCGAGATCCGGAAGCCCGTGCGGTCTCGGATCCAGCGAGGCACGGCGCTTCGGGCGAGCTAGCTCGCCGTGGGAGCGGCCGGCGGCGGCGGGAGTTCGTCGCTTGGGGGG